AGATTATGATATATTTAGTTTCATGCGACAAATTGAAAATAATTTACACAAAAGTGAAAAAATGGACAAAGTTTTACAAAAAAAAAGAAGTTATCAACAGTAAAAGACAGTCAAAAAGTCTAAAACGATATTTAACATCTTCAAAATTCGACTTTAATGAAACTTTGCCTATTGTTAGAAAATGTACCGATAAACGATGTATGACTTGTCCTAATTTAATAGAAGAAAATTCAATTTATTTTAAAAATGGAAAGCATTTCACAGTTAAACAAAACATGTCTTGTAAAAGTTCAAATGTCATTTATTCTCTCATATGTTCAAATTGTGAGGAATTCTATATTGGAGAGACAAAAAATAAACTGCGTACTAGAATGACTGTTCATAGGCAGCAAACCGACCATGAAGATTTAACAATCATCCGGTCTAACGACCATTTCCATCGTTGTTCTAATGGACGATTTAAGATATTTCCATTGTATATGGTGAATCGTCAAAATTATTTTCTCCGGAAGAAGAAAGAAGAATTATTAATAAACATTCTCAACCAGGGATTAAATGATAGATGATATTTTATTTATTAGATAAATAACACTTTAAAGACTTTACTCAATTTTTTAAATGACATTAGTAGTCTCCCTTGTATTTGTTAACGCCAAACTATTGTTAACGGCAATCAATTGTTTTGTAGAACACTTATGTATACAAGTCAAATTACCCGAAGATCTGTAAAAGCAGTGAAAGCGCTAGTAAAAGTGATGAATTGAAACCGTTATTATCTTTTATTAATTTTCTTATATGTTACCAGCATACGGATTCTACTTAACTTTTCTTTATATATATATATGTTTGTATATATATACAAGTCTAAATTGAAAACAACGTTCAAACCTATGATTGCGTTGGATAAAAACCGCATTTTTTATACATGTACATGCAAAACAAATTTCTCAGTAGAAGGGTCAAAATACAACACAAACAACATTTTTCAAAAGACCAAAAAAAGTGAAAATATACATTTAAACAAAACGCATTTGACTAGCAGGTCGAACAACGAATGTTCTTAAACCCTGCTGATATAAACATTTAATTGTGTAGCAGAAAAATATTGTTAAGCCTATCTGTAATATTTATATAATGTAAATTACTGTAAATAAACGTATTACAGAGACCATAATTAAAGTATGTAAGGCAGATGCACGTTTTGTCTACAAAAGACTCATCACTGACACTCGAATAAAAAATATACTTAAAGGGCCAAATTTATTACGAAGATGAAGAGTATTTGAGGACCCGAAAATCCGAGAATTTTTGCCAAATAGAGCTAAGCTAATCTATTCATGTGGTAGAAAATCCTAAGTAATTAAAAAAAATCAAGGTTTGGTAAACAGATAATTTATATTTATGCCCTTTTTCAGTGATCATTCATGTCAACACGGATATGCTGACTACTGGGTTGTTGATACACTTGGGGATGAAGCTTCCACCAGCAGTGGTTATAGTGGTTAAAAAGTATCGAACGAGTCAAACGTTATGACCCTCTCAAAAAACACAATTTCCTAAACTTTGCAAGAAAAAAGTTATCGTTTAATTCCTGCAAAAAATGCTGAAACAAATGTGTTGATAAACCTTGCAAATCACAAACCTTTATGGAATTTGATCGTTTGAATTTTACAAAATCTTTTTCAAAGACTTACGGACAGTAAAAAAACAAAAATATTTAAACAAAATTCATATTTTTTCCATGAACTTCACTAAATTTTCTCTTTGCATTATTTTTTGTGTGCTTATGTGTATTTGCATGGTCCTAATGATAACTGTAGTCAAGATAATAAGGACAGTAATATTCAGTATAGAATGATTACACTCAGGACGAATTGACATATCAACTTAATCAAACATGAACATGGATTCCTTACCAAGGACTACAAGATCCCCTTGTCATCAAATCAACAGACGCTTATTTTAATGTATCCTAAATTGAATAGCAGTTTATCATTTTTTTAATACTTACTTTGTGCTCATGTTTGTTATCTGTGAGACATAGCTTGTATTAAGAGAGTTGATCAGATTATATCTTCTTAAACATTGCCGTTTGTATTTGAAAACAAAACACATTCAGTAAACGAATGGAAAATACCTATCTTTTCAGCTTTTGATTTTTGAATATAAAAAAAATGATATTACATGATTTTATACTTTTATACATAAATTCCTTGTCACAGTTTCAACAGCTGCTAGATCAAAAGTAAATGATTTTGCAGTACATTTGTAAGAGTTGTCTCCCACAAACGATAGCTGTTGATTTGTTTGTGACCATTACAAAAAGATTTATATATTTTTAAGATTTTGCCAAAAACGACTCACCTGTGACTCTCAAATAAAGAAAGGTAAAAGAAAGATACCAAAAGGAACATTCAAACTCATATGTTGAAAATAAACTGACAACAGAATAGCAAAAAAGAAAAAGACAAAACGATAAATAACAGTATACAAAACACAACATAGAAAACTAAAGACTGAGCAACACGAACCCCACCGAAAACTTGGGTGATCTCAAGTACACAGGGTAGGCAGATCTTGCTCCACATGTGGCTACCGTTGTGTTTCTCATGTAAGTACAAACCTAGTGATAAGTCTAACACTATGGGTCACATTCGGGGGAAAGGAGGACGGATTGAGGGTACGACGATTGGAACACAACCGTCGTCATCTGTTAAACAGATATTCTATATATCTATATAGTGAATGTGAAGTTAAAAGATAATGCTTGCTTCTTTTCATTAAGTTGATTTCCATGGGAGAGCCCATTGCTTGTTAAAAAACACGTCCCCGAATCTTAACAAATATGTTGTCAATCAAGAAATCAAGCATCTTGATAATGTCAGGTACAGAGAATTTGTCTGTGTGAATAGGATTGTTTTTATTTTTTTCAAAGTACAATTTATCCCCTCTCAGACAAGTTGGCCACTTTTTTTTTATGAAACAATCTTGAAATCAACTCTTTCAATTTTTATTTACTTTAGAATTGGGAATACTTGTGTAAAGTGTAGAAAAGTCAAATGTTTTAATACTATTGCAAGATGAAAGAGTCTTAGATTGTATGCACTCTAACAGATTTTGGGATAATTTTAGTATCCACATCGGATTCACGCCGCCTCTAGAATAAGTAGTAAAACAATAACTTTGACGCTCGGCTGTGATTGCTGATCAAATTGATGTAAATATTTTCGAAAGAAGTTTCGTAGAGCACTTGGAAGGCTCAGCTATATAGAGTTATTTGTAATGACACTTAAGTAACTTATGTATCCAATACAGTACAGGAAGATCCAGTTCTTCATTTTTATTTGAAATTCCAAAGAAACATAGAAAAGACCTATGAGTATTCTGGATTTCTTTCATGGTAAGTGTCGTAGGGATATATATTGGGTTTCTAAGTGAATTATCAGTACCTAATTCATTTATAAAGCAGCTTATGTAATGTGAATTACACACAAAAACGATGTTGTGATATATTTGCGGAGACAACAATATATTTGTCATGGAGGTAGGACAGGTGTTTTGCAACATTTGGTTCTTTCTTTGAAAATTGAAGTGTATTCATAGACCCATTCTGTTTTTATTCAGATTTGCTTCAACGACGTCACATCATTATCTGTTCGAAAAGGCTATCTACATCTTCTTTCTCGTGCTCAACCCATTGCTTAGCTTAATCCAAGACTGAATCCATCAGTATTCTAAAGTTGTGTTTCCAATTGATGGATTTTGGTTCACGATATTTCGGGTCTTTGAAGAACACATTTCGCAGAGAAGTGTTATTGAAAATGTTTAGGTCATCCGTATTAACGTGACCTGTAGGACTATGTATATATGTGGCACTTGCACGAATTCAATCAGGAGGTTTAGACTTGACGTCGTCGATATTGAGAGATCCTGCAACACGTGTTTGTAATTGAAAGTTTTAGTTACAATTTGTTTGGTATAGGTATAAGTAATGAAAGGTACAGACATATCTTTAAAATAGGGAGATAATTGTAAGAAAACTGATTTCTGATGAAGGATATTATCCAACTTGATGGCATCAAGACCTTTGTAGACAAATGGAAGTAATAGAAAAGGATCTTTCCTCATTTTCATCATTTCCATGCGAACTTGTTTGAATAGTCTGTGACTTGCAATATCTGAGATGACAGCTGTCAGTTTTTATTGGTTTAAGTTGGGGTTTGTTACAGTGGTTTACAGTCATTGGTTGTACAGATAATGAATAAATGAAAGGGGTAGTGAATAAAGCTTCGTTCGAATGTGATGAACACCTAACGGATTTTGTACAAATGTCAGAATGTCATAAATAGAGATATCATGGAGAATATGTGATGTATAATGACGATGACCATGACTTCGTCTACATTGAGATGTAGAGTTGGAAATGTTTATCATATTCATCGAGCTACAGGAAGGACAAAATAGACTACACTTACCATCGATGTTGTCATTGTAACCATATGATGTCCAATTTCTCAATCTCGAATCCCCTTTTACAATGATTCTAAACTATTTTTATTTTCAATTAGTCTTGCATTTCCTTTTGGCATAGAAGAGGGATCTGTATTTACCTTTTCAGCTTTGATTTCTTGCTTTTTTTCTAGTTATTACTTTTGAGCTGTGTTGCTGACCATTTTTGAACATCTTTCCCCAAATATTATACAGTTCAAATGCATCTTTTAAACCATGTAAATTGCGTTTGGCTTGTTTAATTTTCATAAAATTTTGACAAAATATTTCCTTTGACCCTTTGATAGAAATATAAAAATTTCAAAAAACTTGAACCACACACTTTATCGAAACAATTTCACTGGATATATAGCAGTTTGACAAACACTTATTTTGATCATTGAGAAGCTTTATATTTTTTTAACTATAGAACGTGATTAAATCGTTCAGCTAATTTTTACAGAGTTATCTCCCTTTAGAGTTATGAACCACACTAACACTGAAATTCTTACCATCTTCTTGCTGCTGAAAGTTTACATATGCATAACCAAGCGAACGTCTTGTGATCTCATCTCTACAGACACGGATAGTAAGGACTGGACCTGCAGTTGAAAATTTCCCAAACAACATATCTTCGGTAACATATTGATGCAGATGCCCTACATACAAAGTAGTCATAAGGGAATTTGGTCCAGCTAAAGGTATAGCTTGCTTCTCAAGGGTTGAATATGGCGTTGTTTATTGCTAAAAGCTAATCAAACATAAAAAAAAATAATATACTTGTCAAACAATCTGGTACGTCAGATGCGCATTTCGTCTACATAAGATACAATAGTACCGTCGCATCAATAAACAGTTGTGAAGACAACTTTAATTGGCATTTGAAACCAAAAATTGAGAAAAGTAAATTGTTTACTTGAACTCCTTATTTGATATGAGCATTTTTGTGTTGACATGATAAATCATAAATGCTTGCAAATTTTGGAATTTGTCGGCTTTCAAACTGTTTTGATTCGAGTCTCGTGTAAACAAAACGTGCGTTAAGCATGACAAATTATAAGCCTGTTATCTTTTTTTTTTAAGTTTTCGTAAAAAATTTAGTAACTTTAAAGAGTTACGTAAATATCCTTTATCTTTTTTTTCTTTTGCAAATTCCGCAATGCAAGTTTCTGCATAATCCTTTTTATCTACGAAATCCCAAAAAGACATGAATCCAAATTTGCTATCTCATCTTTGAAATCATAAAAAAATTATTCAAATTCAATTAATTTGAACAATATTTTATCAAACATCATAAAATTAGAAATAATTTAAACTACAAAAGATAAAAAATAAAACATATTTCGTTCGAGATCAACCTATCAAAGGATTGCTACCAGTTTGAGCAAGAAGACATGTTCCGTTGTTATTCTGCGGTTTACATGTTGTAATATACTTTTAGATTATTTACTTTTGTATTTTTCTGTGCTGAGTGTTCTTGCGTTTGTTTGAACTGTATTCCTGTCACGTAGTGTTGTCATTTTAGTGGTATTTTTAACATTGCCATATGAGCTGGAGGTTTTGCTAGCCATACACCAGGTTCAACCCACCATTTTTTTCTTAAAATGTCCTGTTCAAAGTCAGGAATATGGCAGTTGTTATCAGACAGTCCGCTGCTATGTTTGTTGGCGTTTGCTTTTGTTGTAATTCAGTGAATATGTTGTTCCGTTGTTTTCCTCTCGTTCTCGGTTTTAATTTTTAACCCGGATTTGTTTTTGCTTAATCGAATTATGACTATTGAACAGCAGTATACTATTGTTGCCTTTATTTACCCGTCGTGAGAACATGAGTGTTGAAGACCCATTGGTGGCCTTGGGCTGTTTTTTGCTCTTTGGTCAAGCTGTTGTCTCTGTGACACATTCCCCATTTCCGTTCTAAATTTATCATAATCCATATTCTTCTCTTTATCAATTATCATTTACAATGCTCTGAATACATCTTTTCAAAAACTGTTTTTAATATTTAAACAATCTTGTATGATATACTGAATACCATGTTTAAAAGTTTATTTCTATCAATATCAGACTTCAGAATACTTTGCCACTCATTATCTCTCTGAAAAATCCTTCTTATCCATGATGATTTTAGTGCCATAGTAAAACTATAAAGATCTATCATTTTAAATCCACCCTCCAAATATTCTTTAATCAATAGAATTAATCTTTAATCTTCTGCACTCTATGTATAGAAGAGTTCCATACAAATGTATAAAAAATTTCATTAATTTTTTGAAATACACTGTCTGAATTCCGAAGGATTAAGCAAAGATATAATAAAGTGGTTAAAAATAGATAAAACAAGAGTTTTTTAACACAGTTATTCTACTTAATACTGTAAGGTTTCTTTTAACAACTGCTTCATGATGTTCTAAATCTGTATAATTTATCATTATAATTGCTGTTGACAATATTTTCTAAGTCCACATCAGTGTTTGAACAGTTGTCTCTCCCCATGAAATGTTTACATCCGGACAAAATTCCCTTGCTATATTTTTCAAATCCAAATTACTTGTGTTTTTGAAAAACAATATATTTAAACCAGAGTTTTTTGCAAAGCAGTCCAATTCAGATAAGGATACATATAAAAAAAAATTCACTACCATCTGAAATCAATGAAGTGTCATCAATAAACTGTGACGACTTATGCTTAACTTGAGTAACTTCAATACCACAAATTTCCTTAGTTCCTTTTAACTTGAGTGCAAGAATCTCAGCACATAGGATGAAAAGATAAGATAAAAGCGTATCACCTTGCCAGCAGCCCCGGCCTATGTTAAAACAATCAGAAAGGTTACTCGCCTGTATAACTGCAGACTTGATATTATTATAAAATCCAGTTGATAATTGATTCCCCACAATTAAAAAAAACTTAAAAACATTTAGCAAGAAATCCCAAGAAATAGAATCAAAAGCTTTTTCGAAATCAATTAACAACAAGAGCCCAGGTATTTCATGATCTTTTTGTATATTGCATAATATCATATAGAAGCCTGATATTTTCTCCTATGTACTTCCCCCTAATAATATAAAGTCTGATGAAGATTAATAAGTTTGTCAAGGACACTCTTAAATCTGTTGGCAATTACTGCAGACCAGATTTTAGTTGCAGTGTTTAATGACGATACTTATTTCCTTTTGGAAGACAAGTAACAATTCCTTGGTTTTGTGTTACTGACAGTACTCCCTGTTCTGAGCCATAATTTAAAGATTCAACCACAAAACAATGGAGATCTTTCCAAAATGATTTTAAAAATTAAGTCGAATAGCCATCAGAGTTTTATATTTTTTAGTACTTGTCCGGCCTCTTTGACTGTGGTTCTACCCTCAAAGCTCTCCTTCCCATCACTCGAAAGTATTGGACAATTTACATTATTAAGAGTTTCATTCAGATCAGCTACTGAATTTGAGCTATCTTCCTTTCTAAATAAATTTCCTTAAAAAGTTTTTTCTTCTTTTACAATATGGTTCTGAACAGTAAGTATTACCTCTTTATCTCTTTTGGAATAATTTGAATACTTTCGCGTGACGCACAGTTCATAATTCTATTGTGGTGTAAATGAGGAGTGTCCGTTGTTATTCTGTGGTTAACATATTGTAATGTGCTATTATATTATTTATTTATGTATGTCTCTGTCCTGAGTGTTTTTGCGTTTAGTTGTAATGTATTCCTGTCACGTAATGTTGTCGTTTTAGCGGTATTTTTAACATTGCCATATAAGCGGGAGGTTTGGCTAGCCATAAAACCAGGTTCAACCCACCTTTTTTTCTTAAAATGACATGTACCAAGTCAGAAATATGGCAGTTCTAAGTATGTTGGCGTTTATTTTTGTAACAGTTCAGTGTATATGTTGTTCCATTGTTTTCCTCTTATAGTTGATTTGTTTCCCTCGGTTTTAGTTTGTGACCCGGATTTGTTTCAGATAAATCGATTTATGACTATTGAACAGCGGTATACTACTGTTGCCTTTATTTAGTCATAGCATTTTTCGACTCTAGTCCACAAAAATAATTTGTTGGTTTTTTCTCTTTCCTCTTTTCATTGAACACGTGTTCTGACTATTTCCCCTTTAACTTCTCAATACATAATTGTTCAAGTTCAATTTGTTTGCTCTCAAGTTCAGTTATTGAAAGTTTGTCAATATCATCCTCTAACTGTTTGATTTTATTTCGTAAATTTGTTTCCCTTTTTTCAGATTCCCTCTTTTAGTTACTGGAACATGTGAAATAAGAAATACTTTTTCCTGATTTCCATCAATAAAAGAAAAAGTTAGTGATTATTCCTAATTTTTTATTTTCATTATCAATCTCATCAATAGTATCGAAATTATAAACAAGTGCACAATATTGCTTTTTGATTTCACTAATCTTTTGTTTAACTGTTTTTATATATTCTATATCATACAGTAAGGAGTTGTTGAACTATTCTATTAAAAGGATTAAATTCCAGTTCAAGTAGTACCATAGAATGATCTGAACGAAAACTTTGATGTACTTCACAATTTTTTGAAACTATTTTAAAACATTTTATCTGTAAGAAGAAAGGAGTCCAATCTAGCCTGTTTAAATGGAGTTTTTTTCCCAAGTATACCTTTGTACATTGGGATAAAGCTCCCTAAATGGATCTATTCAACGTCTTTCTGAAATGTATTCTAAAATATTTTCTCTAGCCTTAGTGTTATTAGTATGCTTGTAGTTACACTAATCTAAACACGGGTACAAGATTTAAATCACCACAAATCATGTAACTTTCATTTTCAAAATCATCAACAATGCTCATGATATTGTCAAAAAATCCAGGACTATCAATATTTGGATTTTGGATAAATCCTGCTCCAATAGCTGAACCTTTCTTGTGGCTCATGGTAGGTAAAATTCGTGATCGCGATTAAATGAATGAATGAATGAATGAATGAGTGAATGAATGAATGAATGAATGAATGAATGAATGAATGAATGAATGAATGAATGAATGAATGAATGAATGAATGAATGAATGAATGAATGAATGAATGAATGAATGAACGAATGAGTGAATGAATGAATGAATGAATGAATAAATGAATGAATGAAAAAATGAAAGAATGAATGAATGAATGAATGAATGAATGAATGCATGAATGAATGAATGAATGAATGAATGAATGAATAAATGAATGAATAGTGCTAACCTCAACGCTCAAAACTGACACTATACAAGGAATAATAATATACAAACCTTATTACCAGGTAGTAAAACCCTCAAGCAGTTATAATCTTTATAAACGGTTTTCTTGTTTCCAAATCTCTATATTTCTGGTATATATTCATCATCTGAATGATCTGTGCACTTTCAAAATAGTTGAACATAATCTTATCTGAATGAAATTACAATGATTATCTACGATAATAATCACACATAGTGTGAACAAGCACAGTTAATGGTATTTTAAATCAGCTATATATAGATCGTAACTAAAACAAATATGTATTTTTATACCAAAACGAAAACCTATAAAAAAAATCCTCATACCTTCGTTGTACTATACAATAAAGTCGCTGATTTTCATAATAAACTTATTACTTTAGTAGGATGAAAATCCGTTCCATTAATTTAGTTTAAATATTATAAAAGTAAATACGAAACGAAATAATAATATGCATACTAATTAAGTAAATCAACCCC